AACCAAAGTGCACTGCTTTTTAGGTCAATCGCGCTCTCACGTTAAGCCAAGTATCAGTACCGCAGTCTCTTGGGAATAAGATGTTCCACTTTCATGGAATTCAAATGAATCAAGCCATTTCCAAAAAAATGACGAGAAAATAAGTGCGTTCCCTCAATATTTTTTTGAGTAAAGGGCTACTATTCGAGTGCCTATCTATCCGTGAGAAAATGTTCCTTTTCTGCTACTGTTTGAACCTAAAACGACTCTTAAAAAAAAATGAGATTGCTTATCAATATTTACATGGCAGGCTATTGCTTGAACCTACTCCAAGTCATGTACGGATGATGTAAAGCTTTGAGACAAGGGATAAGACCCTGACCTTGTTGCTCGGAAAACAATACCTTTAGTTTAAAAGTTTCCCCGCTTTTTGTAAATAAAAAGTTCAAGCATCTATGGGTTCCACCAAGAGCAAAAAGTTTTGCAATCGCTCATGATTCAATACTTTGCAAACTCAAACACGCAATCTACTGCCATATCAAGGTAGGTGATGATCATCATGCATTTCAATTGTGATTTTTAGCGAACACGCTTTCGAATTCGGAAGTGCAGACAGCCTTGGTGGAGGCAGATTTAGTAGCATGTGATAAATCTAAACCCTTGAAACACAAACCAGTTGATGCTATCTTTTCTTTCCATACAAATTCCTGAGTCCTAAGTGGATATTTGCTTCAGAAGAGGAAAGTAGTAAAAATTTGCTTCTCTTTATTTACAAATTGAAGTCTAAAGTATGATTGAGTAACCAGTTGCACCACCACTTGAACGGTTTTTGGTGGGCACGTTTTTGCTTGGCCAACTAATGATGATTCCACCAGGCTATACTGCTCACTTCAGCCCCAAAAGATGACACCACAAGATGATAGAATTTCTTCAGCTGGAAAACTTGCAGCCTATGTGCTTATCACTTAACACTTTTAGGCCGTTAAAGGCATATCGTAAGCAATACGACTCGGAGAGTCTATAATACCTAAAATTCCACATCGTATAGTGGGTCATGATTTACGCTTACCAAGCCTGTAGTAAAAACGTGGATGGGCAGGGAAAGACGTTTGCGTTATCTTCGAACAACGCGAGCCTCGCTGTTAAAGTGCTGTGCAACGAAGGCATCAGCAAACAAGGTGCATGATGAACTAATAAACGCACACGCGAAACGTAATCAATGGTTAGATAGGAGGCGCTAACTTGGCAATTTCAAGCTTGACCGCAAATATGAGCCAGCCAGACTTGAGCTGGAACCAAGCTGGGGTAAGAGAGGAAGTGAATAATTAACCAAGAGCAGAGTACCATTGGCTGGATAAACTCGATTCTGTCAGGCGGGTTCGGTTTTGTTTACAGATAAGTCGGGTGAAAAACCTAAATTGAGACCAAAAAAGGCAAGTAATAATGGGCTGAAAGTAGTCGTATTGAAGGAGAATGGATAAGCCCATCTCAAACCACGCGTAAATTGACATCTTGAATAATTGAAAATGAAACCGCTGGTCACAAATCGACTAAAAGTGACATCAAAGTTAGCGCCTTTTTGTCACCATCCTACGAGGGCAAACTATCGTAATTTCCCATGGAATTAGAGGCGGATTCACTAACTGAAGTTCCTAAATGCACTTTCAGACCGAACATTTGATAATCCCGTGAGGGACTAGCATTACTGACTTTGTAGTCTGAAAAAAAGATTTAAACATGACTAAATACCCCTGTTTGATCGCATGAAAAAGCTACCGTTCATATTGCGAGGCTGCGTTAACTATTATCTACTTTGAGATAAAACTAGCTTACATGATTGAGAGGACAACAATGTACTACAGTTGTGGTCTTCATGCTAAAAGAGGCTGGAAATAGTTTTGGTTTCGGATGAGTATTTTCCAAGAAAGCAATTAACATAGGGACCATGGACACCGTAGAATACCTACAAGCGGTCAACACAACTTTCCGGATGAACTCCTCCCCAATGGAGGAATCCCCTTTAAGTCCATGAGATGCACCGTTACTGGTGAAACTAGTGCTGTCATGCACATTAGCCACATCCTCTTCATTGTAAAAGCATGAGAGAGTAATCACAGAGGGTGTCGGAGACAAAACTTAAAATTAAACGATGTGTATTTTAATTGGATAGGTAGTGCTATGTAGACTTTCCAGTTTTCTTCGACATGACTGTTCTGTTCATACTGCCTAAGGCACAATCTTCCAGGTTCGAATAGCTCCAAGAACAGTTTGGGTGCTACAGCTCATACCTTTAAGTAGCTTTGATGGAGTTAGGTTGAGAAATACAAGGATTGTTGAAAGATCACTAAGCCAAAATTTGCCTGGGAAGAGGAAGGTATGAATTAGCAGAAAGACACCATATGCCATGGTCAGGTAGGGATAAAAATGGTTTCCAAAGCGCTAAAATAAAATATAATGTAACTGACCTCATGCTGTCCAGCAAAGAGGGGCTCTCCGGTGTGCAGTTCTACTAGGATGCATCCGAGAGACCACATATCGATGGCCATGGTGTAGTCGAGACCGAGTAGAACATCAGGCGAGCGATAGAAGCGCGACTGAATGTACTGATAAACCTTCTCGTTGACATGACAGGAGCTGCCAAAGTCCACCAGCTTGATGGCGGAGCGCTTAGGGTTGATGAGGAGGATGTTCTCGGGCTTCAGGTCGCAGTGAATAATTTGGAGGTCAGGGCGGGAGAGAAACTCCAGCGCGGAGCAAAGCTGTTGGGTGAACTTGCGTGTCAGGTTCAGTGAGACACCACGAAAGTTAGTATTGCGGAGCAGGTCGTAAAGATTATGGGAAAGCAACTCGAACACCAAGCAGAGATGTCCGCGGAACACGAAGTGAGTCAACAGCCGAACTGCAGGAAAAGGCGTGAGAAAAAAAATGATCTACTAATTTGCCAGCTTTTCCTCACATTAATAGCTGAACTAATTGCGGGTATTTAGCCTTCAAAACGACCTTTAAAGATAACACTGACGCCACCAGAAAGCACGTATTTGGGCTCATCGAAAGGCCCGAGCTTTTGGGTCAGCCGAAGTAGAAATGGGTTGCACATGAACGCTATCAAGCCACCGGTTGAACCACCGTACTGCGACAGTGGAATAACTGTCAGTCATATACGCCGAGGCATACTGGTTTTTTAGCCCTCACGAATTCACTTCGTGCAATTTAACCTACTAGTCTCGCAGGCCTCCTGCACATCAACAATCAATCTAATTTCAGGTTTAGGCGTGTTTGAACATCACGAGAAACGTAACCCTGAGGCTGCTTTGGTATAAAGAACCGAAAAATGACCATCCAAATTTTAAAACACAGTTAGTGCAAATCTCACATCTCATTTGAATGTAACTCAAAATAAGAATGCTTTTGTACTCAACAAAGAAAGGCGTTTAGTGATGATCTGTTTATCAATTGCTAAGGCAGCGTCAATCAAGGAGAATTTACAGCATTTCACGCACATTTTCCAAAACTGCAGATTTTCTCATAATTATAGTAAAACAGCCGGAGGGGGGGGGGGGGAGACGTGAATAATGGGTGTTCTGCTAACTACCAGAAGAGAATTGTAGCAAAAAGCAACAATCTAAAAATACCCGTTTTTGTTAAACTCGCAGCATGGGAGAACAAATAGAACTTCAGTGTTTCACGGGAACGCGCAATTGATACCGAATTCACAGCAGTTCAGGTGAAGATCTAATCTAACCTAAATACGTCGACTTGATACAAATAAAGCAGTGAATAGATACAGTAAAGTTGTGAAAACTTATTTGAACTAACAATTTTCAAAAATAAAACGTATTAGTTAAATGGGAGATAACGGTAGAACTCATTTAACCGGTCGAATTTTCAGGTCTTGAGAAAGCTATGAGATCATCAAGCAACTTCAGCCAATTTTAGGATGACAAACCAAACAACTGCAGAGGGCTTCTTAACAACAGTTTACCCGCTAAAGGAATCCTTATTTCAATCTGCCACTCTTCTCAAACAAGGCACAAGTATGCTGCGAACTCCACTTCTACAATAGGTATTATTTCTAGGTGATCGTTTAATGTCAAAATGTTTTATTCATCACTCGGAGAGTAGTATCAACAGGCAATATCAAGTAATATAATTCCATGCCCATCGACCTCTCCCTCCCATTAAAAAGTGCAAATCCTCCCATGACGTGTATTTTTATATGCAGCATGAGGCCTTTCGTTTGCTCGAAAGATTAACAATAAAGCCCCCCTCCAAGTACCTGATTAACCAATTCGGTTGTTTCTAAATAAAGCCATTTTGTGCATCGGGTTTTATCAAGTAGAATCATCTAAGTCGTGGTTTTTGCTTGGCTTTTGGCAAGAAAATTTGCGCCTGCGTGCCATCACATAAAGCAAGCTTCCACAACTTTCGCCTAGCTGACGTAGGTGCCAAGGAATCGTTGATCCCGAACTAGTTTAGCCTACAATGATACGTAATTCCACGTCATCAGGAGTAGATAGATTAATCTCAGACATAGTTGTTTAACCTTCACCAAGAAATTCAAAGTGAAATGTTGCATATACAGTCCACCCACTTGCGCACAAAGTAAGCAGCCTTTTGAGGATGAAGTGGTGCATGGTTTAGAAGTGAGGGATGGGTAGTGAGTGGGACATTTAGGAATAACCAATTATGTGTTCTTCCACCAACCGCACATAGGAACACAGGAGCCAGTCAGTCAGTAAGCAATCAAAATGGCTCCTTTACGTGAGGCGAAAGATGCGAAGAACAAATTAGCAGTCCTTAAAGTTCGTTGTCATCTGATGACACCTAATATATGGAGCCCATTACCTTAGTAGTTTCCAAAACTTCCCCAGTTGATGTACGCGTACGGTAATTGTTCCATTACCGGAGCCAAAAATAACTGCAAGTTGTTCCTGATGCGTCAATCTCAAATTAGTCCAATCATTTGTGACATAAGTCTCTATTCTAATCAAGAACAGTCTCCATTTTTGGTGGAACAATCTCACGATGCATCATTGAATGACACGGTAAAGGAATAATTTTTTTGGTCAAACCATTTCTGGATAGTACGTTCTGCTGCCCCATTTTCTCCAAATCCTCTGAGAGAAGTTTTACGAAAGATTAGTTCCTGCAGCTTGAGTCATATCTAACAGGTCCAACCGACATTTTTTTCTTAGATTTGAGTGTTCGGAATTAAAGCGCAAAAGTACACGGTAGGGAGTACTTTGTCGATGGGCTGACGCATTTTTAGCCATGAAAATATACGCATCGCACTTTATAAGCCCCGTGGACTACAAGTTGTTGCAGCGAACTACACCGAAGAAAGCACGAGCCTTACGATTACCTGATAGACAAACTATAATAAAAAGTTGTTAAATTCAGCTGAAAAACCAAAACAAAAAGGAATTTTCGGCAAATATTTGGTGTAGAGGAAGAAGAGGAATCACTGACCGACATAATTTGCACCGTGGTTACTATTGGAGGCATCAGTGTTGGAATCCTGTAGTCGGTTCATCTGCGTTAACAAACGGATCTCCTCGCGTGCCTGATTAGTGAAGGCACGTTTATTCTTGATTATCTTTATTGCCACATCTTCATTGGCCACAAAGTCACGGGCTTTCATCACCTGTCAGGGCAGCAACAAAAAAGACACTTTTCTGGAGAAAAAAATTTTACGGAAAATGGTGAAGTTTTGACTGTGTTAATCATATTCGAGTTTTCAATAAATGAGGTATATTCTCAAAATGAAAAAAAAAGGTAAAAGAGCGGGCTGGTCGTATTTTTACAGATTTGAGGCTAACGGAGATGGAATTCTGATCATTTCATTGAGAGAAAACTAGAAATTTTTGCCTTATTTTAGTAAGATTGCTTTGAGGTCTAAAAATAAAACTAGTGTTTTCCTAAATTTCGACATGTACCGAGGACCTAAATGTCGCAGTGGGAGTCCCTATTCTCGATATTAAGGAAAATAACCAAAAACTTAAAGAATGGAATTCCGTATGCTTAAAGTACCAATAGATCACTTAGATGTAGATAAAAACCTTTGTGAACAATAACATTTTTGATGCCGAAAGAGCATTTATTGAAACAAATTATTCAGACTGAAAATTTCTGCAAATTTTAGCAGATGGGAATAATCCAAACAGTTTACCAAAAACTGTCCCAATCGAGTGGTACTTTTTAGCAATTAAGCTGGCCAGCAAAAAGCAAAAAAGAAATGCATAATTAATTCGGTCAAATTTGGAAGCGTATAGAGATTTGAATTGTGTGAAACTATGTTAAGTCATAACAAAGGATTCAAAAGTATGAAGAAAGGAACAAATATTTTGCAATCAATGGTGGATGTGAGCAATGAGCGCAGGGGAATCAAACCAACAAATATTAATTTAGAAGAAATACGTCAAAAAACTCATTACGAAATGGAGCAGATGCAAAACACTTCACATCTGTGGAGCATTTCCCCGATTCACGTTTACGAACTTCATAAAAGATACATTTTCAGATTCTCAAAACCCGCAAGTTGTTGCATGCTGAAAATCGTTTGTAAGATTCTTCAGTTGGCAGGAAATTCAAAAGAATCACATCTTTTAGTCTTGCCAAAAGTGTTTAAAAAGTGGTGCAAATAAATAATCCAAGTAAAGATTAATATCAATCCAAAATTGTAAAAAAGGCATATCTCATAAAATGTTGCAGACAAATTATCAGCTTTTTAAATACATGTAATAGTGCCACTGCTCTTTGTTAACTTCATGTAGTTCACAATTGCGACTCGAAAAACCCCCAAAACATGTTATGAGAACGGGAAAAGTAGTACACTCTGGCTGTCATTTTTGCAGTTGATCGATGCGGCTTCCATGATTGTTTGCTCAAACTGGTAGAAAACGCCGAAGAGTTTGCGGGTGCACAAAGTCATTGTCTCCCGAGATGTGATATCTACTGCGCGTCCAGTATACCAACCAGTAGTTGACAGGGCACTACAAGTGCCGCTGTTGACTGCTAGGCAGGTGGATTGCCAAAACGGAAAGTAACGCACATCGAGATCGCCGAGACAACCAGCCACGTATGTGCGCATGTGTAAGTAGCAAGGGGTCACACCTACTCTTTAGTTTATAATAAAGGACAATATTGAATCACACGCTTCTCTGTTGAAGTAGGTAGTCTACCATGGGATGAAATTTTTGATGCCTTCTTGTTTGGCCCTAAGAATGTGATGCCTCCGTGCTTCTGCAGGACATTTGTCATTGTAAAATTGAAGTGTGGAGGTCTTTGTAGTTGTGACTTGAGTCGGTGATGTCAGCTCTAGAGGGGAAGACAGGCAGATTCTTCCACATTGGCAGATACACACTGACATCTATTTTCGTCGTGCCAATTGTCTGGTTGTCCGGAGCATTATATGTGTGCGATCCCAAGGGGGGCCGCCAACAGAAGCAGCAGCAGAACAAAGTTTGTATTGGTATATATGACGTTGGAGTGTTATGGAATGCTGGTGTGTTTTGCGCGATGGCTTCATCCAAAAGCACGCTTCTTCCCTTCACCACTTCGTCCACGTGATCAAGAGTGTGGTTGGTGGTAGCAATACTTCCAAACCGGAAGGTGTGGTGAGGAATGCTTCACCGTCCTCAGGACCGTGTGAAGGGTTCTCCTCGCCTCCTTGGAGAAGGTGAGTGAGGGGCAATGAGAGGCGATGTGTGGAAAACGTCTAAATTGGGTGCACGGATTGTGCGCATTTCGGGTTACATTGCACCACAGTTGCACGAGAGGGCATATTTGTAGTGCAGTGTACTCGTGTACAAGCCACTAGCCAAAGCACCGACGCACAAGCCGACCAACACCTCACAGTGGATTGTAGAATGGTTAAAATTCATTATGTTCGTCTCCGTGGGTGGTTAGTGCATTTCAGCATGCATTGCTTGCGCCAACATGCTGTAGCGGATCCCGATGATAAAGAAACCCCTCACAGCCAAAACCGTCGCTCATCGGACATAGTGCAAACACGGAAAAAGGCGCATTAATTCCCACCAAATGCACTTCTCGATGAGTTGGACGATAAATAATGGAAAGCCTACATCAGAAGTAGTTTCCACAAATGTTTGTGGTAGGGGAGTAGGCGGCAAAGGGAAACGGTGCAGCTGCAATCACAACAATCACAAAAGCAATGTCGGTCAAAGCGAAGCACTGCTTCAAGCCTTTTTAATTGGAGCCGATTTTGTAGATGCTTTAAAAAACAGTATATTTTTAAAAAGTTCTACCTATTTCCACAAGGTTGAGCTCAATTACGTGAGTCCGTTGCGTTGTTTCGACACGGTGCATCAGTCGACGAGACCCACATTAGCATGCTGAGCGACTCCTTGAATTGCTGCAAATGCTATTTTGTAAAGCCGTTCTCCATTTCTTTACAACCAGCGTCTTCAAGAACCGCTAGTTTTGGATTGTTTTTAACTCTTCGAGGCAAAGTGTGATGAATGCTTGCCACTATGGCTTCCTTCATCTAGGGTGAGTATGGCGATGTCAAATTAAACAGTTAGGTGATAGAACATAAATGTCTTAATGTCAACTCGCCCAGATATCAGGTACAAAAGGTGCGAATCAGGGAACGAGATGGAGCAGAGGTGGGGACTTTTGCACGTCTAGTGGAGCACTTGTTTGTGGCTCTATTTGGTCCTGAGTTCTTAAAAGCCACTCACAAACTGTTTCGGTGTTAGGGAGAGTGTGCGAGACAAGTAGCTTCGTGGACTGTGGCATTAGGATTAAGTGTGGCTGGTTTTCACGAAAACAAATTTATTTCTTAGACGAATTAATTATGTTCTGGCACGAAGGTAGAATGCAAAGTTGACACTTTTCTTCCGGTCTGTGCCTCTTCCAACAAAGTATTTTCCCTTCTTGCTGATAAAATAGAATGCCTTAATGGCTAAGTTGAGGGTGGGTTCGTTTGTGGTTAAAATAAAACGCGCCTTATCAGTAGTCCCGCGTGGAACAAAATATATACTTAAGCTCGTGGCATAAGGTTTGACTGAATTTCAAAAGATTGACCAATTATTTCCTAGTCTGCCATTTACTTTTTGTCCTTTACCGTATTTTAATGGTTATTCACTAGGCTGCAGAAGAAAACAAAACACCATTCTTCAATACTCTCCACATCTAACAGCATGTTTTGGACGATGACGCAAAAAACTCACAAATTGTCAAAGATCGAACAAAAAACTCCTCAGACATCCAGCTACTTTGTGCTCCTCTAGTCAGGATTTCTCTTAGTTTTTGTAACTGAGCATCGCTGATTTGTAGCCACCTACGTTTCCAGTCGCCAATCAATCACTAGTAAGAGGTTTCCCATAGACGGCGGATCCAAAAAGTACACATATTGACACTTCTCGTGTGTGATGTTGCAATTGACAGTAACAATGCCACATCTATGCTTCCATAATTCCAGCTCCATCCCACCGAATACTGGATAGTTGACCTGACCGAATGAGAAGTTAAATGGGGACTAGGAAACTGCACAGGAAGGTGGACCATGCCCGACTCACTTCAACAGTACCATTTCATCTTATTACCCTCTTTCTTTAATTGTTTCCCCTTTTCACTGACAAATGGAAGTGGGTTCCGGGATAATCGAGACAGATTGCAGAAGGGTGCATTTTTCAAAAGTCCATAAATTGGCCAACGCACATAAGCTAGTGATACAGGGAGGCCATCACTGTTCATAGCATCGAACGAGTAGATGTAATGAATACCCGTTCCATTCAAGCTTCTCAACTTTTCCTTTTTTTCATTTTCTGCGTTCTTCAGAAAGCCCTCAAGTGTTGTATTCGTTCCCGAACTCAAGTCAATCGATGATGGAAGATTCGTCATGGACGGTGAATGTCTCCATTGGGAGATATCGTGAGGCTGGCAAGTACTAGTGCTGCTTGAATGACGCGATTTCGATCTGACATGGCATTTTGCAATGTGATTGATTGATGGAAAGATGAAAGTGACCTCGATAGGATCGGATCGACACTATTGTCCAACACGACTCACTAGGAGTTAAATGTCATCAAAATTTGCTCGTTCCCAGGGTCAGATATAAATTTCGTCACAATTAGAACGAGTGACGTGTTTATCTATGTCGGAAAGTATTTTGCGACGCAACAACTATTCAAAACATCGGATAAAACATTACACTGGTGCTTTACCAAATTCATTCTTTTGGACTAGGCTTTTTCCCTATTTTCGGTAGAAAGCAGAAGTGATTTGCAGCAAAACCAAAATAAGTCAATGAATTTTGTGTCTGGCCTTAACTCATTCGAGAATGTAAGGGTTTTTGTAAGCTGTCATATGCAAGGAAGAGACGAGAACATTTAGCAAGCTTAATAAATTTGACATTCATTTAAGACAAAAGTAGGCAGGAGGACAAGACGCTTACTTGTCCGAAAGAACCTTTGCCAATGAGGCTATCCATGTAGTAGCGGTTCATCCAAACCTCTCCAGGTCTCACAATGTAGTCACAGTTTGCATCGGTGTGGTTGGGGTCCACGTGGTGCTGCTGCTGATCCGCTGATTTCTGGCGCGTAGATCGTTGTTGAGTTGACAGCGTCTGCTGTTGCGGCTGCTTGGATACCAGTGATTGTCCGAATGGCGCACCATTGGTGGGTTTGGCCGAGGCGGCGGCTGCTGCAGCTGCGACCGCGGCAGCAGTAATGGCGGATTGGTTGACGTAGCCGGCAGGCAATGAGACGAGGGGGACAAAACGGGGACCACTACCACCAACGCCAGCACTGAGGCTATCCTCGCCACTGCCTGCCACAGCAACGCCGATTCCATCGATCGAATCACCTCCCATTCCAGCTATGAAGAGAAGAGATAGTCCTGCTTGTGAACTTTACTAAGTATCACTGCTAGAATAAATGAGGATGGGTTCTTTGTGTAGATGTATGTTCATGCAAGAATTTGACTGAGTTATCTATGCGATTACCGAAAATCACTACATGATCATTATCCCTGCCTCACAGTTGATTCCATCTCGCTTGGATGCTGCTATGATGGCCAAAGTAGGAGAATACAGCGAATGCAGAGAATAGCATGCACAAAAACAGAACCACTATTATTTTGACTTCTTATTCAACTGTACAGACATTTTCAGTCTCTTGAAAATCAGTTACAATCCAGTGGTGCGGTGTGTTCAACTCATACCGGCTACGACACTAGCCTTCCAAACCTTGACCTTTATTCAAGAACTCCATTTTAAACACAACACATTCAAATATCAAGGAATCTAGTGCGGATTGCTGAGATTGCGTATAGACTTTCTGATTCTACATTATATTTAGTAGCGGATCCGAATCCGATCCTACCGGATAGAAAGTGTCTAAGGAACTGCCCAAGGTATTGATATGCTGTTAAATTAGAAGTCATCCAAAAACAGTATATCTAGCGTAGCCAGATGAAAATAATTAAGGTAAAACATTGATCAGGGATAGGTAATGACAACTAACTAGGAGAGAAAAAATTGGCGGCACTTATCTGCAAAGCTATCTTACATTAAGTGCTACAAAACATATCTCCTTTTAAAAAGCGAAGCATTGTCCAGCCCCAAGTAATAAAAAGTAACTGGACTCCTAAAGTGTAATCTCACAAAACGCGCGTGATAGGACCCATCACTATCGCTGAAATCCATATTACATGATTTTCGGATTACTTTAACACTCCAAAGTCTCTTTTATTAGCCCGAAAAGACTGGTTGTAAAGAATCCCGGATACAACTCACAAAATCGTGATAAGCGCTTAACTAGTAAAATCTAACTATCGGAAAATCTCGACCATCCCCGACTTGACCAACATGCTGCTGGAATGCAGTTCTGCTCAAGCCATTTTGTTCACACCTAGTGCATATTACAGCTTCTTCAAGCATAATTCTTTCGCTACATTTATTTAGTCATTGCACAGACATTCGGTCAACTAAGTTATCACCTCTACGCTGTGTGTTGTTTATGCCATCTGCACTTCCAATTCTTCAGATCCTATACACAAACATTTAACTAATCATGCCCAAAGATACCTAGGTGTGGAATCAAATCAAAATGACAGTAATACAAAAAATCAGGCTAGAACAAGACTAGTTTCAGCACCGGAACAGTTTAACTAGATCAAAACGGTAATTATAGGTGCTGCAGGCATTAAATTAAAGTATCACATATCAAAACCGAAAATTGACGTCGAAACAGACAGAGGCAATTGGTCCGACAGAAGCATCATAGAATGAAGCAACAGCGCGACGACCAATGCTTTGGACGTCGCCTGCCACGACAGTCGATTAATTAAACAGTTAGCTAAATCACCCTGTACTAATGACTGCCACCAGTTCTGGCAACATGCATACTCGGAAGCTCGAGTTCCACATAATTGTTGTAACATGCCTAACGGATTGTTTCACCATTTATATGGATGGTACCAAATTAATGGTGCACAAAAAGTCGAGAGGACTGATGAATCATGTAAATAAAATCCATCATGTGCGTAAAAACACAAAAAACACCCGATCGTTAACCCCTACCATCAAAAATATGGGTTATGTAACATAGTTCGAAAATGCCAAGATGGTAGCTTACCAAACGTCAACTTGAGGAAATAGCCTGTTCTTCGTCGCTAGGACTTTACCAGTAAATTGCAAATAGCAAACCCTCTATTGCATCACATCTAGTAAAGTCAATGCTTCAAATGAAAGAATGCACAGCTGAAATTCTCTTTGACGGCGAAATCACCGCTACCACCATTGTAATCAAGCCCAAAAACACGGAAAATTTTCTATCGCAGTTTACGCAATGGTTATCAAGTGGTATATGATTTAGTAAACACATACGTCCATTTTCAACGCCAAGATCGTTCAGTGGACTGCCCGTTAATTCAACGAGGAGCCCTTTCTTGTCTTTAAGTGAACACGGCCAAAACCATTTTGTTCCATACAAGCAGAGGTTCCTAGCTCAAACATGTGGTTTTTTTCGTGATTTATAGATGCATGAGAATTCCATGTGTGACGCAGGCACACACACGCGCCCAAACACACACAAACTGAGAGAGCGAAGAACGGACTAGTCATTCGTGCTTCGTGCTGCCTACTAATCCGAATGTGTATCTCTTTTTATCAGTCAAACATCCAGGGTCATTGATATGCTATGTCGCTAGTGGAGGGGAAGCTTCGAGTTCAGGTCAGGAGGTTGATAGGATATGAACCGTACTAACAGCACTGGAATGATTAAATAGCGGTTAACACATTGCCTCAGCGCATTTTGGGGCATTTCTTTGAAAGAAAGAATAACCATTTTGGGACTGGGCAGGTCTATTTTCACACTCGCCATCGGGAAGGCGTAGGTTTAAGATGGGGAAAAAGGGGAGAAAGCTCCGTATAGGTATTTAAATAGTCGTTTCCGCGTAAAAATACTGTAGGCAACAATTTCAGTCATACCCGAATCTTGATTTTCAAATCGTTACAAATGGCGATAAGTGAATCTACTTGGGACGAAGTATCCGGAAATGTGCCATTTTAAATGGCAAAATGAGGTAATTTTTCACTACAACGTGTGGAGTGGCAACCGCAAAACACGGGGACGTAGTTCATAAGGAACTTTTCAGTTAAGACACTTAAATTAATGCTTAAATTCAATAAGACCTTCACGTAAATGCTCCCTAACAAAAAACAGTTCTGCAAATGAAAAAACCCAGGTAAAAGTTGTTTGAACTCAAGTTCATAAAATGACAAAAGATTTCGGAAAATGATAGGCTTTGAGATTAGATTTTTGGTGAAAAGAGTAAGAGTTGTTGGGGAAAAGGCCGTTTACAATTTCATAAAAACCAAACCGGTACTCTTGGGCACATACTTACCAAAGATGACAACTAAGAGATTGTGAGCGATTTGTGTACTGTTGGCCAATGCTTCGATTGTTCGACTTCAGCATATATCTCCACAGTATTTGTAATCGCATGGCTGGCAAATCACATGGAGTCTTGGTTGCCCAAATCCATTATCAGGAAGTTCAATGTAAGTTGAAAAAAGTTATCCTTTAACAGAAATTTTAAAGCAAGAAACCCAAACCATGATCCAGATTGGCCCAAATCAAAATCGCCCCGATTCCTTTTCAAGGAAGCCAAATCACAATCCAGGTTTAAAAAGTAACGGAGCTCACTTGTTGCTTTGAACGAGGAATTTGGCAAGCGAGCCAAAATTACCCGTAAGTTGGCAGTCGTCGAAGGTCATTCACATAATTTTCACAATTTGAAATAAAAACGCTGAATTTAATGTTTATCAAACGAGCACACACTCATTAATTGACAAGGACCAGTCTGTTCGCCATCCGGATTTTATCATCCAATAATGCAATCATCCAAACTCCGAATAAAAAAACCACATGAACTCGTACCTATATTATTTATTCTAAAATTTAGTCTCAAACCGTCCGTTTAGAATCAAATTTCCAAATTCCAAAATCAAATTTCAAATTAGGGATCATCGATGAAAATTTGATCCAAGTTGGCAGCTGGGCCACCCAGCACGTCCCGAAATAAACATGAGTGCTTTTAAAGGAGTGAAAGTTTACTAGTAAGCTGAAAATCATTTGGAGTTTACTTTGTAATCCCTTGAGTAAGCAATTTCAACGTAGATATGGGTTTGATTTACGTACGTATAAATTCGCAGTTGACGAACGCCATTCACAATACTTTCATGCTTCCACCCAAAAGCCAATAATCCGACCATTCAACTTCAAAATACACCCGTATTCCCATGAAAAAAGACCAACTATGGGAACTCATGTTTAGTTTATTTAAACTGGAATTCAGTGTTAGACCTCCAAGTTAAATTAAAGATTCCAAAGTCAATAAGGAATTCGCCACTTTACAATACATGCGCGAACATGTGATCGAAATGCTGTGATAGACCCAGAAGTGCAGGCAGAAATTAACTAAAGTTACTTTAAAAGAATGAAATCACACTTCAAACGGGTCTAAATAGAACCATTAAATGCCAGTCTGCTAGAGGCATCACTTGATTAATTTCAACACCTGAGTCATAACAACCTACACGAGGATTGGCATTTGCTGAATAAAATTAACACTGAAGCTCCATTTTTGTCAGGACCGACTACTTCGAACGAACCAATAGTCACCGCAGAGTATTGTCCAATCAAGTAGCAACGGCGATTAATTTTCGCTTTGTCATAAGTATCCATTTCATCGAAAATCCACTATCGGGTTGTCTGTTTGAAGAGCTGAAATGCCGCCTGTCAACTAGAAATTTGTCCCAATGAATAAGGTGATACGAACAAAATTATGGCCCGAAACAGTAGGTGAAGCAGTAAACTACTTCAAAAATTGAAAACACCTCAGAAGAGGTTCGGATATAGTACTGGGAGTTCACTCGAAAATTCAATCGAGCAACTTCAAGACACGTGATTCAGAGACAAAAAGCTACGCATCAAAATAAGTCAGGGGCACTCACATGCATAGATTGGTGGTTGCAGAACGTCGTTCATACCAGCCGCCGCCACCGAGTCAACAGAATTCGCATAAGTGTTGCCACTAGCGTAGGGATGCTGCATAGGTCCACTTGCGACCTCTAAAAGGGCCGCCTGGTTTTGATAATAGTTCGTCGCCACCTGTTGCTGCTGCTGTTGAATATGATGTTGTTGATGGTGGTGAGGGTTGTAGAACTCGCCTCCTCCTCCTCCTCCTCCTCCTCCCCGAGTCGTCGTTAAGAATGCTGGCTGTTGCTGCTGCGTTTGCTGACCTAGACGATTCATACGCGGACGATGTTGAGGGAGACTAGATGGAGCGAGTCCAAAATTCCCGAAACCGGCTAGTTCATCTCCCCCTGCACCTGTACCTTCATTGTAGATACCTGAGCCAAACAGCGCTCAGTTAATAATTGTGTAGACAGTCTTTATAACTCAGAGGTATGGACATACTCATGTCTCCCAGTTTCGAGGAGAGAGTGTGCATCTGGACGACCTGATCAACAGAGAGAGGATGTTGTTGTTGATGATAGTGGTGCTGTTGCACGGAATCGGGAGTATTGGAATGGTGGTAGTTGAGCTGGTAGTAAGATTGGGGCATTAACGACCCACTCCCAGAATCAACCACAGCGGGTGCATTGGTGTAGAGGAGATCGGTTTCGCTGGAAGAAGGTGGCTGTGGCATTCCTACATCATCCACTGCTCCATCGTCAACCAGGTAGTGAGAATGACGCCGTGATTGCTGCTGTTGCTGCACATGGCTGGAATTGCCCTGCCGACCCTCTCTCGATCGCCGCTTTTTGCGGTAGTACACCTGGCAGAGAGAAATCCCAATGTTAAATAAATCTCCACAACCTTTCATTACAGGCACACTCACGGCCACTCATTTGCATTAGCTCAGTAAGCAAATATATACTCCCTCTCTCCTTCCCCTTACCCCCACAAAAGAAGAGCTAATGTAACAATCCAGTGTTTACAAGGAGTAAACATGCCTCGTTAATCTGCTTGTATGTTTTGATTAGGTCCACAGAGAGCTTCTTCAACGGCGCTGCGTCAGTTCGCATGCCAGTCGGGAGAGGCAGTCGAATGGCAGCGTCGTAATGATCCAATCCAGCTACAGCGGCTGCTTGAACTGCTGCTGCTTGGACTTGAGCAGCCGCCATAGAGGCACCCATAAGTCGGGAGAGGGCGTTGTTCACAGAATCCAGCGTCTCCTCTCCACCACGCGTGGCTCTCTGTGAGGAGAGGGAAAACTCCTCAGCAGCAACTCGAGAGAGTGCGGAGGAGAGAGAAGGGGAGCGTTCCTCACCACCTACACCCACGTTGTTATTATCGACAACAGCAACGGTGTCATCATCGGTGAGTCGTCGGTAGAGACCGCCGGCATCAAGGGGTATTTCAGTGTCTTCAGGATCCAATTCTTCCACCTCAGCTTCAACCTCCTCCTCGTCATCTTCTTCCATCTCACCGAAGAGTTTCTGGTGACGGGAGCTGGGCGGGGGTGGAGGGGGCCGGTGACGGGAAGAGGTGCAGCCGGAGATGGAGGAAATTGGAGAAGGATCATCAGTTGTGGAAAGTTCGGGGTAGTAGAACGCCTCGTCATCATCACCCTGAACATCATAGTCACCATCGCTGGTGAGTTTGGGGGTGGTGAAGTGGGTCACCGGGGACGAAAGTGGAGAGATTGTCACGGAGTTGGAAACGATGGGATGAGGAGGCGGAGGAGAAGAGATAGATGGGGAGGAGGTAATTGGCTCTCCCCCTCCTCCTGGAAGGGGAGATACGTCGAGTGCATGTGGCACTTGTTGGGATCTACCAATGCTCATTTGACCAAAACTATTGCACAACCACCGTCATTGAACCAGTAGAAGCTAAATTAGGAAGAAAGAACTCAATTGAGCCTCAGGACAACTAATGTTAGCGGTAGTCGAGACATACAGGAATACGACTGGCTGGCATATGAGTAGATAACATCTGGTAATTATTTGGACTAAAGATAGTGCGCAATCATACATTAACACTAAAATCGGGAAATACTAGTGGGGGTTTACACAAATGTCTTCAAATATCCCAAGTAATAGAAAGGAAGAAATCGGGAAAAAGCGTTCAAGACACAAAAAACAAAGAAACGCAAGCCAACAGTAGGCTGAAGCATGCACTAAAAAAGTGGTACCAAAGATCCCTCCAAAGCCAGGATATGTCAGATAATTGGGCATAAATTTCAAGCGAAGTGCGATAGAACAAGAGTAAAAAACATCGTCATTGATCTACGATATAGAATACGTGGCAAATATGAAGAGCTGGTAAAGGGTTCATAGTAATTTGTCACACGTATCCAAAATTAAATACTGAAATGGTAAGGAGAGAGGCGGCACCAGCACTCGGCATTTAGCCGTCTTTTCAAGTCGACCGCTTGCACAATCCGCGGCCATTGGTATTATAAAACATTATGCAGAATTTAACAATTTAACAACAAAGGCATTATCTTAATACTTTGAGGGCTTTTTGTACAGCACACTGTGTTACCTGACTGCGGGATCTTGGAAACATTGTAAGTTTTTGGCTCATTTTAGTTTTTATTTTTTCTTTATTAAGGGACTTATAATTAGCCAATTCCAACCATTTACAACGTGCCATCTGTCCAAATTCACATTTTATTTGAACAAAGTTTATTGGTCTACTATAGCTTTTCTCGAGGAGCGTGTACTAAACCAATGTGACTGAATTGATACTTTATCACTCGATTATGCGAAGATTTTTTGATACCTACGACTTCGACATATTTGCACTAAGCAGTTTTGATGCGCATATTACATGCACAAACGATTCAGATCAGCGTACTTGGCTTTCCTACCCCTTTATTAAAACTGAACTGCCTTTAGATGCCTAGTTTCCCTGTGCATGTTGAATGTTAATGGATTCAGCTATTTCCTTTTGCTTCGATCTTTGGACTCTGGATCGAGAAGCGTGGACAGAGGAGGCCACCCTACATTGGTACAGTACGGGTAAAGTTTACCGAATTTCCAATGCGTCACCCGGCTGCCTCAGACTAATCGCTTGTGCCAAAGGGGTAGTTAAACAAATATGCATCATAGAATTATCAACCACATATTCAAATTACGTTACCTAGTTTTTGACACCCAACATCCTTAGCATTCTTAAATACCTACTAGTGAGTCGCTGCGATTATAAATATTCAGTGATATGAGCACTTCAGAGTGAATTTGAGCGGTCAGTCGGTAGTGACTTAATATTTCGTTTCGTCGTGTGTTTAAATATGCAGACGCTTTGGCCTTCGCAGGTTTTTACCTCCACTCTGCAGCGTGGTGTCTGCACTACGTATTTTGTCGTGCCATTTTGGCTCATTATGACTTTGGAGGAGAGACGAGGTGCTACTTATCAGGGTTCGAATAATGTTCTTGTTAGTTATCAAACAAATGTTTCTACAATTTAACCTAGCGCTTTGGTTGCATGGTGCTTCTTCGTTACCTGACTTCCATTTAGTTTAATGCTTTTGACGGCAAACAATTTGAAAAGAAATAGCACCTTACGAACAATACAGCTGGACTTGGGTGCTACTGGCGTGGCCCAGAGGCCAGCTCACACGGCGACAGTAAAATGGCAGTGCCCCTGGGTGGGCCGTTGCCAAAACCGAGAGTTAAAGAAACAACATATTGCACCTATCAGATAAGTCCACAACCAAATCTATGAAAAACGACCGACGGATTGTGTTGAAAAGTTCTCAATTTTGAATAATGTAAGTTCTATTTACTTTACTTGAACTACTTGTTCTGGAATTGGAAAGGCCAATTAATTCCCTCACGTAAATATTTATTCACCAATAAGCTACAGAAGCATCGACACCCGCTCAAAGAACACTGGTTCAGTTCCACCCTAATTTTAGATCTTATTTTTTTAAGGGATAGCGGAAACAGATTTGAAGCAATTTTGATACGGTAGTGCTCTATTTATCCCTAACCAGGTTGTTGGCCCTTCAGTCACGTGAAAAAAATCCGAAGGGAAAACAGCAGGAAAAGATTCCGGACAAACTGATTCACAAAGGCCCCCGTTATCGCCCCTCTTGTCCAAAATGGGGCAGTCCAGGCGACTAAACGCGATTGCCATAAGTAAAAACAAGTGGTACTTTAAAAAACCCACAACAAGATGTGTTGAAATATTGTCGCTGTTCTAATAACTTCTCTAAGTTGTACCTCAGCACGAGAAGAAGGCAAAAGACTTCATTCTTTTGAGAGAGGTTTCTCTGACAGCATTGGAGAATATATATATAGAACAGTGGGAGAGGGGTGCACATGCCATATTGTCGCGACAAATCTACAAATTCACTCGGTCAGTAGTGGTGGTACGCATAAAAGAGGAAGGGAGCAGTGCTGAGTAGCAGTTGGGCAAGGTGGAGCAGAGAGGAGCATTCTAGCATTGGCATAGCAACAACTCATACACAAACAGATAGCATTAGGGAGCGGCACTAACAAACCTCACAGGCATCACTTTGAATGGCGCACGTCGGTTTTGAGTAGGAGAGAGACAGAGTATAAAAGGCATAAAATTACGTGCAAGGAGAGAGAGGAAGGAAGAGAATAAATGAGAGGGCGGGAGCAAGTTCACTTATTGAGGAGGAGTGAATTGATTTGTGCAGTAACTGCGGCTGCGCTACAGTTGGCGTCGAATTCAGAGAAGACTTGGATCATGTATTCACCACCCAGCTTCTTTGTAATGAAGCCGAAAAGCCTTTACAAGGAAAAAGGGAGAAGAGACTGAAAATGAGGAACGTTTTTATCTCATCGACAACGCTTCATCATGGCAGACAACTTACTTTGGCTTATCCAGACCCAAAGCTGAGTGGTTTGGATGAATAAAACTAAAAAAGCAGGAAAAAACCCAATCGAAACATCCTCTGAACCAAAAAGTCAAGAGCATAATATTATAACATAGCAGGACGTGTTGTGCTTTTACATTTTTTGGAGGCTCCTTAGTATTTGAAATTTGGTTATTGTGCTATTGTCATGCCTTAATAGCTACCTTAACAGACCAGGCTCCCAAACCTTATGCTGCATAGTGTCTTCAGGGACCACTCACGAGTTGCACTAGTGACAACGGTAGGTGAACTCGCTCGACACGAGTAACAATCCCACCAAACGTCACAGAAGAAAGGTCTCTACCGTGGATGCCTGAATTTGTGGTGGCCTCTGACAAAATTGGCATTACAGCCCCATCGGCTTCTGGTGATCGTTCCAATGCCGTGTCAAGCACCATGGTCAGTAATAAAGCAAATCCAGATCTGAGCGATTCAAAAATTTTCATTAAGGCATAATGCAGAAATGCTGCATTTGCGTGCATTGAGAAGCTGGGCGTAATCTGAATAAGCAACTGAGCCTCAATGAAATAGTAGAAAGTTGGTAACGGGGGGATGAATAGCGAACTTAGCTGCATAATACTCTGGGTTTTACAAAATTTTCATTTGCTTTTGGCTTGGATTATGGAATGCAATCGCCGTAGAACATCATCCAGCCTCGTACAATATGAAGCGATTGAGCTCATAAAACTCAATTCGCAAAGACATCGTGACGTGTGAACCCACCACCAGTGTCCTCTCGTTGTGATAGGGGATCATCATGTGATGGCCGAGGATCGCCAAGGTTAACGCTTAAAGTAATGATTAAAGCTTAGATTCAGTGTTTAACAAAGTGGGAATTTTCAGTCTCCTGACGTGGGTCCACCACACTTGTGAAATTGAATCGTGTTCATTTTACCCATGCGAAGAGTCTTCCAGCTCTTCTATACGCCTAAAATGGAGCATCTATTACGTTTTCAAAAATAGTATGGAAAAAAATAGGGTTTTAGCAACTTTAAGAGAAGAGAGAAGTTGAAGTAGACGTACGCTTTGTCGCGGGGATCGACGCCAGCGTAGATAAAGCTGTTGGCAGGGAAGTGTCGTTGAAAGAAGAGTTTGCGCGAGAGATCGGTGAGGAGTATGCCCTCATTGTGCGCGGCCTGCAGTTGACACTCGGTGTACTGAACAGGGCTTTCTGCGCCCATCTGATCACACGTAGCGGCCTGGAGCACGGACCCCGGAACCAGGGTGTCCACTGCTTGCATCAGGCTCGCCTGCTCTTGACTTGCATCCACCTCCACTGCACCGAGGTGGAGGCATCTACAGGCTGAAATTTTTAAGCCGGGAATTGGTAATTTAAATAGGGCCTAAATTATTTAAAGTTAGCCAAGTTTAGTATAGAACTTCAACTTTTCAAAAATTGGCGAAATTATGATTAGATTACATATATTGTACATTTTAAAGTGAAAATGTAACCATTTCCATAAATAAGATAAAGGCCATGTTATACAACTTTACATGCTAAATTATTACTTAATCTAGAATTAAACTCCACTGAATTTTGCCACAATTTGAAAATCGTTTGCAAAACTAACTTAATTGCATAGCTGGCCAAAGATCACTTACAAATACTTGGTGGAGGGCTGAGCAATTCGCTATGGAACATCCCTGCAGTAGGAGAAAGCGGTGAAGTGATACTTCTCGCTGGTGGCGGAGCCTCCAACGTCTCAGTGACTACGGCGTTTCCATTAAAGCTCACGGGTGTCTGATCCAAACTGCGGATACCACTGTTCTGCACCAGAGTCACCGAATCCGAATCCCCGTTCCCAGTTCCGCTTCCACTTCCTGTGCCATTTCGCACGAAAGTGGAGTTACTAGAAGTGATAACGGCACCGGTCTGGCTGGGAGGAATTGGTGGCAGTACAAGGCAGCAAGGTAGCGCGACCGGGTACTGTGTATGATATTGGATGAGAGCCAGGAGATTGGGGAAGACCTGCTCCGCGCTGAAGCCCTTGATTCGAACCCCTCGATTAGGTGTGGTAACCGTTTCGATGAGGTAGTGGCGAACCAGGTCGTTATTGATGTCGTCTGAAACAGGAGGAACCAGATTCTCCAATCTCCTTCAACCAATGTAGGTGTGTAGGTGTTTGGGGAAATAGCAGGAGAGGGCGAGAAGTGAGCATTATACCATGCAACAGTCCACAAACAGCATGCATGCACCGGCTGGCTGGATGATTGAGTTAATGGTTTGCTGCCTCTGGATGGCTGAGATAGGCAGTGAGCGTTAGTAATGACACTAATATGCACTAACCCTCGTGATCTTTGAAGTAGCGCTGTGACGTGGATGGTTCTGTGTGGGTACAGGTTTGAGAATTAGGGGCAGGGAAACACTGAGAGATAAAGGGAAATATCCGATCTTAACTAACACACTGCTCTAAAATAGACTTTCTACCAGGTCCATGTGCTCAGTTAGTAGATCAAGAGTCATCCACATAGGGTTGAATCACATTATGACCAAAGACTACTGACTCCAATTATGAACACAATACCATTCCGAATATGTTACGTCCCATGACACCAATGCCACTCAATAAGTGCTCGAAAAAGTTGTCCAAGATTTGCATAGAGGGCTAAGGACATAGCAGTATCAAACAGATTTTCGCTACCATATAAGAAATGTTCTGAACCGCAAATTCGCCAGTTAAATTTGGTTTTCACACTGCTTAATATGTTAAGGCAAATGAAGCAATTCTTGCATTACCTTGAGCAAACCCAGATATTCTGTTCAACTATGTATTGTAAACAGTCCTTTAAAACTTAATTTAAAACTGTTCTACTGAAAAACGAGTGGAGGTTTTTTCCATTTTAACCAATAATGGAATAACCCTAAGTTCCCTTTTGTCTTTACCCCAAGGTTATTTTGATTTTTAGCTATTTTACAAATTATTATGTAAGAAGTCAAGTGTGAAGTTAGTAAATAAATATAAAGGGTTAAACGTGGCACTTTTGACTGTTTAAGCGAAATGAGTTGCGCCTATTAATGGGAAATCTAGGCGTATTATAACTTAAGCTACCTTATGATGAAATTATTTTTAAAGCTATGAAAATAAACTAACATTCTCAAATTAAAAGCGGGAACGTAATGGAGATGCTAAAGTACGCTTGTCCTGAAAAATCCTAACAGTATGTCGCAGGTTTCGTTGTTATGTAGAGGAAAAACACTCCTTTGAAGATTTGACTTCGGTGCTTATAGAAACAGAAGGTATTCACACACAACACCGAATACGCAAGATAACTACAACACCTAAGAAATGCGCAATTGCTAAGGAGCTAAGTACGAATTCCATCCCATTTTTCACTCCACGAGTGAGTGATGGATGCAGCAACATACGCGTCGGTTCTAGCGGCCTCGGTGGCTGTTGGGCTAAGCCACAGTGAACAAGCAGTGCCTTCGCCGACAACGGTCGCTTCCGTGTGTCATCATCTTTGTATGCACATCCGATTACACCGGGAACAAAAGTAAATAAGTAGGTCCTACTTTTTGAGTTGTAAGTAATTAAGCTTTAAAATTGTTAAAGCAGGGATTGCAAGGGAGAGGGTTAAGAATTAGTGGCTTTATCCTCGATTATAATATGAGGGGGATGGATGGAGGAAAAGAAGTGAGGAAGAAGTAAACGCGAACAAAATAGCGCATGAGCACGCAAAAAAGGTAAACAAAGAGGCACATCTTACTGAGAATGTTTTTCATGAATTTTGCGAAACCTGACAGAGGGATGGGTGGAGGAGGTGGAGGAGGAATTGGAGGAGGACATGGTGGGAATGAGGAGGAAAAAATTTATTGATGAGAATCCATAGAAGCAACAATAAATAAGCTCTTATACACGTGCCGCACGGTCTGCTGCTAGGAGAGTGTGTGGTCTAATATGAAGGCATGCAAGATTGCTAGCTGGCTTGACAAGCAATTCATTTTGCCATCCACATAACCCTATTTTTTCGGCAGATTTGTCCTCTTACTTAACCTTGTTCATAGTAATCTTAACTTAAAGGACTAATGCGATTTCTCAGTCAGTGGATGAATGGCGATTTGTCCCTCAAAATTTGTCATTTATTTGCAGGCAAGAAGTGGAAAAGGGGTGAAATAAAACAGAAGAATCTACCTGACTTTTGTCCCGTTTTGCTTGGCGGTTTCGTGCTCTTGACAGCCAATCCATAGGCGTCCTTGAAGGTAGTACTATCACGAACAAGGAAACTGCCGGGAGGTTGGTTTTTGAGGATCGAAATGGCTACAAAAGTACACAGATGTGAAAATCATCGCAATTACCTCATTTCGCGGTGTAGATTATGCGCATATAGCCTTTAAAAGTCCAACAATCTTTTTACATTGTCAAGACCGTTCATTTCGTGTCATAAGAACAAAAATTACTTCTTTAAAACCCTCAAAGTGTCTACGGCAATGACTCAAAAACTACGAAAATAAGAACTGTAGATTGGAGTATTTTAATTATGAATAGTCCAGTCTATGAAGTTATGGAAGTTGAGAATTTACTAATCGTTGTAAACCAGATTCGCACTTGGGATTTTGCTTCCATAAAATGAATGTTGTATCTTAAACTAACCCTCCTGTCGAGAAATCTTGAGACGATACCAGACAGGTGACGTGGCTTCTACAAGAGCGAGATCAGCAGGTCCACTTGGAGTCAATGTGCTCGAGGTGCTGTTTTGTTGGCTAGGCCATCCAACATCGTTCCTGGTGCGTTGCTGGCATTGCTGCTGTTGACTCTGGAACAACACTGACTGTTGTTGTGGCTGTGGTTGTGGCTGCTGTTGCAGCACGGGGACGTACTTCGAGCCCTGTTGACTCGTTTGCAGCAGTTGTGAATGGTTCTGTTGATGCTGCTGTTGGTGACGAATTTGTTGTGTGGCAAGGTTGGTGGATTTAGTAGTGGCCACATGATGTTGGAAACTACTCGCTTCACTCACGGTTCCAGCTGAATGGCGCCGCAGAGAAGAAAGGAAGGAGTCTAAAGGCAAACCAATGTCAAGAAATTTTATGATTCTGAAGTCCGGTAAATACACATACAATCTTGAGTAAAAATGTAGCATGGTTTTTTTCACTTCAATTTTTCCTTATTCGACTTAAGCTCTTAAGTAAAGTGACTTTTGACAATTAACAATTTTCACGCAAAGGTGAAGTGAAATGAACCCCCACTAAATATAGTGGCACGGGGATAAATAACATGAATGCAAACTTCAAGAAAATTTTCAGCTTTCTAGACGTTTCCTTTTTTCCTACAATAAACTTAGGGCAATTTAGGCCTTACTTGAGGCCGCACGTTGTGGTTTAGCGGACATCGTCTGAGGAATATCCATAGCAGACGTCTGATGAGCAAATGGCCTACAAAAGGACAAAAAATGAAAGAAAACAATTCATGCCAACATTAGGAAGATAATATATTAGAGTCGTAAATTGAGCAAAAATGCACACGGAAGCTAGTATTCCAAAACCTTTCCATATTGTGCCAGGACTGAAGACTCCTGGCGTTCAACACCCACTGTGAACCACCCCTGACTAAGGCTTATTGAATTTCTATGCTCTGAAAGGAGAGGAGATTTCTAACTTAGGAATAAAGGTGGATTGCCAGTGGTTGAATCAGGGCAGCTGATAAAATTAGCCATTCGTGACTCATAGCCACACAAAAAGAAGACACATGGTTCACCCTTAGTGTTCAGCCAGTATGATGCAGCATAGGATGCCCTCATCATACTTTCTAACTGTCTATAACCTTTTATAAAAATTGGAAGTCGACGCAACCAAGTAATAAGCATAAATTCTAGTTACTCATGAAAGTGTGAATTTTGTTGGATGCGAGAGCAAATAGAAACGCAGCCCTTTAAGTAACTGAAGGAGTCACTTAGTGAGGCTTCAAGGTGTAGTGTGGTTAATAGTACACTCGACTGTAAAAGTGACTCAGGTTTAAGTGAACAGGAATACCACTGCCAGCAAAAAAGCACGCACTCATTTTGCTTTTCTCTTAAACTACTAGTCAAACTTGGATGCTTTGCCTTGAAAAATAAGGCTAGAATGATAAACATAATGCACCAATTCAGTTTCCGGATAAATGGGGGCCAATTTCGAGTGAGGGCAATACCTAACATCATAATTATCTACCTTGCCCCTGAAATTCAGGCTAGCAAAAAATCCTCATGATGTAACAAATAGCCAGTGTTCTAGTAAATTTCGGCTATAAGACATCTACCTTTACCACTACTCATTTCTATGCGTACTGTCAGGAGAGTGCGACTAACAAGACTGTTAATTTATGAGACAGATAAACATATCTATGCGGCTTTTGTTTCGTATAACGTTGAGTGATTCGAGAAATACCAAAATCCCACTATTCAGACACAGGAACAAACGCTAGGAGAGCTGGCACAGGCGGTGCAGTTATGACTGACGTGAGGCTGCCCTGGTTGGGTCACTGTGTGCGTACAAAGAAGCCGGGTTTTGATTATGGATCATAACCTCAATCGCTTACGCCATATTGACCCTTTGTTGACGAGCGCCTGTGTAATTACCCGTCCTGTTGAGACCTGAAAGAGATTCACACCTTACTACCCTCTTAACATTTCCAGTAGCGTGAGCATTATTATTAAATAAAGGGCTTTAAGATTTGTGATTTTATGAGGTCATGAACTGATGAGTGAGGCCATTACAACGAAATATTTCATGATCGAATGTGTAATTCCAGGTTCACAAAAACTGACCTTCAAGCATTGATGATGCAACAGGTCGTCTAGTGCTTCTGTTCAACGTTGCGGTGGACCCCATGTTCGAACTGAGGTCTTGAACACCTCGACCAATGGGCTGCAGTGTCACCGTTTCGATCTCTTCAAATTCTGTGCGCTCGGGCTGGGGTGGAGGAAGGTGAAGTGACTGAATTTAATCAGTTCATTCTCGATAAAGATCTCCTCAAAGTCAGACATAAATGTTTAGCTTACTTTGATGGAACTGATGCAACTCCTCTTTTCTGACAATTAATAAGGATCTTTTAGTGATGAGAGAGACTTCTAAATAGGTAATCATCGATATGTACGCGGTAGGATGATATACCCTTTGGTTGCATGAACTACCGCGCTGACCTTTTACGATCTTCAGCAGCACGATATTCTGACGGTGAGGTCAACGGTAATCTTCACCTAGCCCTTTGAAGGGGCACCTACCCTACAACTTCTTCAGACGCGATCTATGAACCGCATACTTATTTTCCTTTACATCCTCAAAGCTATTTCATTGTGCAAGTTTGTAATTCAGGCGGCATTTCATTAGCCTATCCTTTCAAGAGCTTGTGTATCTATCCTTGAAACTAGTCTTGGCATTGCGTTGTTAGCACAAAGTGTCTAAAGTGACATAATTGTCACATCATTTATTCCACTAAAATGTGCATACAACTCATTGCAGCGACATTCTCACGCCTTCTAGGGGATTAAATTTGAGCACATTTAAAGTCAATAGCTCCCGATCACAGGCGTCGCTCATCGTCTATAGAAAACGCGACCACTTTTAATTTTGTGACTAGGAGTTGATTGAATCTCGAATCTGTCTCTTTCAAAAAAATGGCTTAAAATCGCTCACCTGGATGGTTGACATTGAGTGGTAGTGCTGTCTACGTTGCTGATGGAGAGAAGTGGAGCGCAGATCATTGGAAGATGCGGCAGAGACATGATTGATGCGTTGAGTGCTCTGTCGCAGTGCCTCAGCCTGTTCAGCCTCCTGACGCAGACGCTCCCGTCGTGCCGAGTAGCCTTGAGAGTTAGAAAGCATTCCACCACTTCGCATACTGCCTCCAATAGACCGAATTGATGAGTAACCCGGTGCTGGACTTTGTGGACCTAAGAAAGGGAAGAACTCCAGTCCAAACTACCTGCTACTGAATAGCCATTTGTAGTTCTGACAAATTGCTCTTCAAATTAATACAGCATTTCATTATGTAAGGGGACTTATTTACTTTAAATGCCTACAAAACGGTGGCCACACAGCGTTCTTTCATGTCACGTGTATTATCATACTGTTCAGGGCTGCCACAAGCCACGACGTCTGCGCATGAGACCCTTACGTAGACATCTGCGCCACATCCACGCATGTATATAGGAGGGTAACATGCCTACCTGACATCATTCCATTCCGATAATTCCAAGATTGATTAGTCGTTACGTTTGCAGAACTCATTGCACGTTTAGGCGCTCCAAAAGCGAATCCTGAGTCTAGAAACAAAAAGGCAGGGCGTAAAATCGCCCGAGGTCATATTACAAACAGTCTCTCAATCGTGCAATATATCCACGTCTTCCTCACTCGAACATAAACTTCACAGTCGGTATACCTGAACCTGATGTTGCTTCCTGACTAATATAAGACACTTGGCAAAGGGATGGTAAGAGTGATGGTCTAGCAACTCGTCTTCTAATCACACGATGCCTCGTCACAATCTCACACTCCACTGGAATTGAAGTGCGTCTCATATCTGTCATTTTGTAAGGCTTTTCAAAAGAACCATCTTCGCGGCTGGCAGGACCATAGCTATATGGAATGTCTTCCTCGTCTAAACAACTGCTCAATGATGAATCGCTGAATGCTCCATCATCAATTTCCTCGTCATCTTCGGTGAAGGGGTTGTCTGACAATCCTGCCGACGTTTCATCCAGAAGTGTGGGCGTGCGTGGGACGTCTAAATTCCAGCAATAATCGCAAATACCATTCTTGTGGTCGTGGTGCTGATCCTTTGAGTAACGCGGTTTCAACGGACCCTTGGTCGTGGCAGCACGTTGTCGCGAATTTAGAGGAGGCAGCTTGGAATAAACCTCAACCGACGTGTGCATCTATAAAAAAGGAATAAATAAATAACAAATTTACCCCCTTTATTTTGAGACACTTGTATAATGGTGCATTCCGCCAATTGCAGCAAAAGTATGCGCCCCTCTATTGGCAATGCCTTATTATTTTTGTTCATTAAAAGCACAATACTGTGAAATTTAACTTCAAAGGTCCCACGTTACTAGTTGCCTGATAGGGTGTTGAGCTACCTTGTTGCATTCTCATGCAAATCAAATGGACTATTTAATTCGAAAAATGCCCGACTTGATTCATTGCTGCCATCACCTCTTCACCGTTTAAAGTAACGTTAAAGCTACAAATGCAAAACTGTAGAATCCTATTTACCCTGATGTACTTTACAGCGGAAGGAAGAATAAAAGGTTTTGGGGGAGATGATGCAGTTTAACACGTCGAGTTTGGACTTCATGCATTTATGGACTCGAGAAATTACACTCTTCTTTACTTGAGAAGGCGGATGGTGCAGAATTTCCAAAGTAATTAAGAAAATAAAATGATGAAAAGTGGTTGCAAAATACGTATCCCGTGAAATCGAAAGGAAGAAGTGTAGAGGTGAAAAGGACTTACGTTTATAGGGAGGCAAAGAGCATAGCGGAGCACAATGGGAGTCAGTTGTCAAAGGGGTCCAGTTTGTGAGCCGTAGTCCCGACAAATGTGGCGGTAGTAGCAGAGGCAGCGGCAATGGCGGCAGCGTAATTTTCAGTCAGTATGAGTGAATTCTTTTTTTCACCAATCAAAGGGCGCTTTGGAGCACACAGCGCTAGCGAAATACACCCGCTCATCACAAATTCGCACATACAGCCACGCTCACCAGCACACATTCACACCCACAAAATGCAAAGCGAAAGCGCAAAACGTGAAAAAAGCAAACAAGGCATCACTCTCTTACTCATGCTCTCGTAGCGTCCGTAGGGTCGATAGAAATTTGACCTGAAAGTAAAATAAAATTAACTAAACAGTTGGTGAACGTTCGCATAAACCACCAGGACCCAGTAACCGCGCTTCACTGCTTCAAAAGGTACTTTAAGAGTTAGGTTTATTGTTTCTTGGATCGCATACACTATTTCCATCTGAGGAAATAGTCAATTTTAAAGACCTGTGGACATTTCGAGTAGGAATATAGGTAATAGGAGCAATAATGAACTGTTATAGACCTAATTATTTGGTAGTGTTGGATGTAATCGGGACATCGTTTTACTTTTACAACGATTCCACCTAATTTTGCGTTATTGTCAACACAGAGGTTAAAGAATGTACTCTCAGCAGCATTACTCCCAAATAAAGTGACTTTATGACATCCCGGGTCATAATGGCCACTTTTCTTTATTCAAGCATCTACACATTCACAAAACAACACATCTGAGCGACTAACCCTTGTTGAATATCGTGATGCGACTGGTAATGTGCCTGATGTCGATTGGAGAACATCTCTACATTTTCATGGTGTTGTTGGAAGGCTCTACGCTGTGTTGGGAGGGTGGAGGGCGGTGGAAGTCTATGTATAGGTTCTTCGATCACACTGCTGGCCCGTTTTAGCATTGCTAGCTCCTGACGAGCGCTGGAGAGCTCCTCCAACAATTGAAGCTCGCGATAACTCATCATTTCTGAACTATCGTTCATTGGTGCGGTCGTTGATGTCTGTTGAGCACGCGACACAGACGGTGTCAAGTAACCGCGATTGTCTGATACCATTGAGGACTGAAAGTGTAAACAAATAGAGTTTTTATCATTTGTATCTTTTTATAAATACAATGAGAAGTGAAATGCACTGCAAGCGTGAAATAATGCCACACGCCTGTGCACCATGTAACCCGATGTGTTTCTATGCTTCGCATCTTGAAAATTGAGGTCACCTTCCAAAATGTACAGATGTAGGTAACTGTGCTTTTAAATTAAGCTATGTTGCTGATTCCAGCCACCTTTAATTCTCACGTAACCTCAGCTATCGAGCAGTGCCTTTAACTTAGGCTTCCTATTCAACGGGCCTGCTGGCTTCTGGAGTCAGACCATCGTGTTTCACTCATAGGAATGTAGACGAGCTAATTGCCTGTGGTCTTGTGATGAGTTAACGTCTAGGTGAAGTAATTCCCCTTCGGGTCAACTTATAGTTTCCATACAAAGTCGGTGTCAACCATTGGCTCCCCAACAAAAAAGCCTCTTATCGCTTCCAAAATGTGATATTTGCTAAAATTTTTGGGCGGCCATTAATGACACCAGACCAATCTTGACTGCAACCTTTCCTTTTTATGTGTGTTGCATGATCACTTTAGCAAACCTCGTCTTTAAACACACACTCTCTATGTTAGCTGTTGACTCATTCAAAACCCTCAGTTCAATATGATTCCCCGGGTTAGGGGCCAGTGAAACACTCTCAAGAAGCGCTTTTATGTTTGCGTTTCAGATGCTGAAAAATCAAATGCAGGTTATTGGTAAAAGGTACAGAGATGTGATTAGTTATGCTTAAGCAATAAAACATTATTTTTCACAAAATAAACCGATGATTTTTGGGTTTCATTAAGGGAAATATGCTTTGAAGGCGCCTATTCATCCGAGGTCATTGCAAAGTTAAAGCAACATCCGCTCCACATTTCAGATGACAAATGTGTCAATTCACCTGTTTTAATATGAAAGGCAATGAAGATGAGGCGTCCGAAGAAAGGCAAAAGCAGTGAACAAGAAATGGTCGTATTTTCAATCCAGATGCATAACAAATCCTTGTCAGGTGGGCAAAAACTCCGCGTCTTCGTCTACTCTTTTCCTGTCAGTAAATATGATTTCGCCAGATCCCGGTTGTGCTGAGCCACATTTTATTGCAGATTTTTCAAGTTGTTATAAAAGCAGTGAACAGAAAGATGCATTAAAACAAAGTGCGTGCTTTAAAGAATGTAAAGTGATGATTTTTCAAGGTGAGTGTTAAGCGACACCAAGCTGATACTTACTGGATGTTTAGAATCAACCTTTTGTTGAAAAAGCCGAAAATTGCAACATCAGCTAGAAATACAAGCAATTTGGCCCTTCATGCTTCTCTTTAAGGCTCTTTTAGAAATAGTCAGGGAAATTCGTGTTAATTTTAGTGGCAGCAATCAAAATTGGCCCGATAAGTACCAAAAAAGGTCTCATACGGTCGCAAAGTCCGTTGAATGCACGTATTTGGACGCCAAGCCCCCATTAAATGGGAAGCTGCGACATGAAATAAACTGTCAGTGAAGCTAAGTTGATGAAGTAATAGGTGGGTCTTCAAACTGTAAAATCCTACTTCTCTATTCGATTTGTATAACGCCCTTTCTTTTCAAGATTACTCCGAAACTTTCTCAGGTAAAACCAAGTTGTAATCTTTAGGTAACTGCAGAAGAAATCAGCATAACTATCAGCGTTGATAATACCTACTGAAAACGAATAATATATTTCGCATATTACTGGCTGAATTTCAAAGAAATAACAATTTTGTGACGTTTCAATCTTCAGTTTAGGAAATGTGGTGCAACTTTGCAGTAAAGTTTTTCCCACCAACCATCACCAGTAGGAAGACCAGTAATTGCGGTAAAGATAAAGCTAACTGACACAAATCTATGCGTTGCAGGTGTAATTCTAACGCCTTTTTTATCAAATAGAAAAAAATTTTGTTCCCTTTGCTTGTAACTGAAGCTACCAATGATTTACTACTCAGATGTCTACAACCGTAAGCAGCACAATTCCTTGCCACCTACTGTGCTAAAACACGCCCAGCTTACATGCGATGGAACCAACGGTTTTGCAACTTAAAGTACGTTGCATGGAAAGGATTCAGACAACACATACCGAGGCCGTCCCAAACTCCGGATCAATAGTGACATTGATCTGATTAAACCACTTTGGCGAAACCGGTGGTCTGTGCTGCAGAGTAGTTCGGAAAGTTGTTTGGTAGCGCTGCTGTTGACTCGAGGAGAGTTGTGGCGCGGGTGTCGCATGGCGCACAAATCCACCACCCTCCCCTGTCGTTGTTCCTCGCTTTTCACCCATTCCACGCTCGGTGGAGTAGGCCTGCGATCTTTGGTAACTCGAGGAGGTGGAAGAGGAAGTGTTAGTCCATCTTCCACCTGGACGGCTGCCTCCACTCCCAGTGAAGGAGTAGGAGCGTGCCGAGTACCTTCCAGCGGTGCTACCACCGCTAGACTCGGTGAAATTGGGGCGCTGATAGCCGGAGTAGAGACGGGAGGAGTGAGTACCATTAGGGTGGGGTGCGGTCGAACGGGTGGAGGTGGAGGAGTAGTCCAAACTGGTTCGTCGAAGCTCCTCCAGCAGCTGGTCCAGATCCTGTGTGGTGGCGGTGGTAGACATGACGCCACTATTGCCCACTAGGTGCTGGGAGAAATTGTATCCTTCTTGTTGCAACTGACGATACTCGGCCTCTTCAAAATCCTCTGCCTCCTGTTCCTCGATTATCGTCGGGGTAGAGCGTTCTGAGGCCGGTTGGTGAAGCTGTAGACGATAGCTTCTGACTGAAAAGTTGAAAAAGACAGCGATTTCACGTATGACTTGAGTAATTATTTATACATAGAATCAAAAATTCGATCAAATATAAGGATTTGCGTAAGTTTAGCTAATGTAGTATAGGTATAAATAATGACAGACATGCGCCTGTTTAAAATTAATAACTCCCCAAACATCAGAAATAAACGCGCACAACTTTATCCTCGGTTAAGATATCAAGATGCGTAAATTAAATTTTAGTAAATTCGACGATTGAAGTCGACCAAATGAAACACATTCACGTGGTTAACGAAAATTATTTGGTAGATGCGACAGAAAAAAACTGAGGCGGCGACAATTTATTTCAAAAGAAAAAATTCGCCTTCTTACGAGGGGTGAGTAACTTGACGAGTAAGGGTGAAATAAGAGTAGCTTTTGTTTTTTGTGATGGTATTTGCATAAATCAGAAGTCGAGGGCAGGTACAAACGATCGCCTGGCTAGTCTGACGGTGAAAGGTACATTGTGTGAGACCAAGAATATTCGCCCTATCTAGCAAATGGAAGCGTTCAGTGAAGCAGTTGAATTAGGTATCATGGTTCGAAGTTTGTTGATTTATGTACTCTGTTGAACAAAACGCAGTTGTTTTCGCCAATCGGATAAAAATATCTTAATTGTCTGTACTTGTTGATAAACAATATACTTGTAAATATGTTCTAATTTTGCTACAAAGCAGTTATTCCTCGGCATAAGGATGACAGACGATGTTGGTGTAGAATTTGCCCATTTTACCAAATAAGTGATAACATATGGATATTTTGGGACCGAGGGGTCACCTTGAGGCAGGGTCTATTCATTCTACCCCATACAGGATAGTAGGGATAGCTCAAAATTATTGCTTTGTTGTGACCTACTTCCTGTGAAATTAAGATATGAACACTGACACAAAAAAGATGACTTCGTTGCAAATCTGGTACGTCCTAAAAGGGCCTAAAGTTCTCAGTTTGTAGGATAAAAGGATTTGCACAGAGCGGCAACTTGACATAAATCAGCAGATCACCCTTTACAGTGGTAACCATCTCAACAAGGGATCTGATTGCGACGTAAAATTTTTTGCTTAATTTATGCTTTTTTTCACAGGGATGGAAACTTCAACAAAAATCATATATCAATGTCTCAACTGCGGTTTGCTGTCTAAAATGCTAAATATACCTCGTGGGACTGTGGCTAAACTCACTGAGCATCAGGCTCAGTGTTTGAATGCAGAGAAGTGCCATTTGTGGAAACAAGCAAACCGAAAGTAAAGTGATGGTCCGATGTTTCAAAAACTCGACTTCCATAGAGCATCCATGCAGTACCTCCGGCTGTAAGGGTAGACTGCTTGAAAATTTCCGCTTCATCAATCCATTGTCCACTTATTTGAACTGCTAGTTGGGGGACACTTCACCAATGCAAAAGAAGTGTATGAGGGGGATGATTGGTACAACAGAAAAGGATATCACAAGGGTATCAATTGACGTCGGCAGTAGGATATCTCATGTGCTGATGGCGTTACGGACTACAGGTCGAACGGATGGGAAGATGTGCAAACAGCTCTAAGTCACCGGGTCTGTGCTCTATTGACTTGTAGCAGACGGTGCTGCAATCGTTCCTAAGGGGTGATAGTGTTGAGAGGAGTTGTATTTTATTAAATCTATTCAAGCTGTTGAAAATGATAAAATAACCATAAAATATAATACAAATCGCATAAAAGTTACACTGATTGCTAAATGCGAAATTGTCTAGTGACTAAAAAAAACACTCCAATTCAAATGCGAAGGAGAATGAATTTAAGTAATTCAGCTTCGAAAGTAAGTTAGCCTTCCAAAAATATTTATTTGTTTAAATAGTTTGCCCTCACATCAGCTTTTATTTATCACACTCTATAGATCAGAAAAGTAGATTCCTACAAAATAATATCCAGCTGTCATTGTAGTTGAAAGTATTTCGGAACTTGTGCTGTTTTTTTTAAAAAAAAACAGTTTCCTTAGAAGAAAGTGTGGACAATTTCTGAAGTATGCCCAAATTATGAACACTCTTGTCATAAAATTAGTGATTCAGAGTTCACTGTAATTCTTCCGCCAAAAATGATCCATAACCAAACGAAAAGAGAGGAAAGAACGTGAAGTGATATGCGAGCCCAACTTATGTAATATGCTATAAGGAGTGGGATATCAAATTCACAGACCAATAAAAACCTGCCCTTTTAATGGTAGACTCACACTCTCAGTGTGTTGAGGTGTCACACCACCAGTAGTAGTGATGAAGCAGTAGCAACGAAAACGGTAAAAGCCTCCGCGCCTAGTAATCTATGCGGAGGAGAGTAATGCTACCTCGGACACAACACTTCCCCAATACGAGGTGAAGGCGATCGTAAGCCGAAAGACTGTGTGCGTTCCCTCTCCTGCCCGTTGCCGTGTGCGTGGATGCGTGTGTGTGCACACGTGTGTGTGCCAGTGCTAGACCTGACGAATCAATTTCCTCGTTGTATAGTATTGCAACATCTGCAACAGCAGCAGCAGCAGCATAGTTGCCATTGCTGCTTCTGCGGGTGCGCGCGTGCATGCTTGCTGCCATACACACTCTGGTTGGCCAAGACGTTACATCGATCAGACCTCTACTGTGCCGTGTTTTGCTATGCCCAAAATGTCTACGAGCGTGGCGGCGGCGCTTGTGGGTGCACCGAGAATGGCAAAACAAAGCCATCTATTCACTCCGTCTTGTCGCCCCTCTTTCTCTACTTCGCCCTCTCCAAGGTTTGTGCAACAAAGTGCCCAAGCACTACGCATTCAACATCGATTGGCAGTCTCATTCGTGTGGAGTTGGCAGATCCCTTGAGCTCTCTTGAATGGTCGACCGATAAACCACTTTTTAGTTGCAATTCAATTACATTGGGTAACTCGTAAATGGGCGATGAAAAAAACACAAATCTACGTTATATTTACATCAACTGAACCATCAAGGCATTGTGAATTGCAATCGCATAAAGCTGTATCAGTTTTGGAAGGTTAATGGAGTTACCAATGCGGCCGAATGAGTTCTGATGCAGCTAGTGAATCATATCTCATTATTAATGAGAAGCGCACAGCAGAGAGTAAAGGAGTTACAAATTTTTAAATCAAACATTTAAAACTGTACTTCTACGTGGTCAACAACCTATCAATAACCGTGAATTCATTCACAATTCTAATGGCCTTAAGAGAGTCTCTCGTGAACTAAACCGACTTATTTAAACATTCCAGAATAATACTGAGGGAGAATATAACGCCAAAATCCAGCGTTCCTTCTCAGGAGTTACTATAATTCAACAGCAGTGTAATGGCCTTTGACTATGACGGATATATGGATAAAAGTTGGAGAGAAGTGTAATATGGTAATTGTTTTTCTAACGCTCGATTTTGGCAACACGCCACTTAGAGGCTCCACTATTGTACACTTGCAAGCCATACTGATCTCCGGGCTATGCCAAAGTCTCGAGTCCAACCATATGTCAAAAACACATATATTTTGCCCAAGTATTATTTCGTCTTTCGTCTTCAGGGTATTCCCGGAGCACTAAAGAAGGATTTACCACAATTACACGACTTCGGTCCACATGTACACGTGTCTACTTTGTTTCTCAGTAAGTAGTTGATTCCCTACTGAGAGTAGAGAAGCACATTATGGTTACTAGAAAATACTAAAGACTGATATTCTTACGTCTGGTCAACCTATCAACGATGTAATGTAAGGATACTTGGTTGAAGGTAATGGAAGATCCTTATTTAACCTTTAATTCAAGTCTGCTTTAGAGCTCAATTACTACATGCAGACAGGATTACAGACACGGAAGTGGAGCCACTGTATAAAAAAGCGTGGGTACTACAAAACGGAGGTTATTAATTTCAGGCAGTACATGGCCAGGCACCAGGTGAGGCAAAATGTCTGCAATGCACCTCTCTACTGTGTATTCCATGCACGTTAAATGAAACAAAATTGTTTTGGAGGAATATTCTGCTGACCGTGTGACATTTATGACACAATATTCGAAAATGTCAATACATGCAAATCCTTTTGGTGGTGGACGCTTTTATTCGTCCAAAAGTTCCACCCCAACACAGAATGCCAGCTGCCGAAGTGAATGAACCTACCCTAAATGTACTTTAAAGCTACTGCAAGAGAGCATCATACGGAGTGGCTGCGGTAGGAAAGTGCCACTGGGGAAAACAGTTAAAAATAAAGGCAACCACACGATTTCAGATTGAAAATAAAACCTGAAAATACAAGTAATTAATTTCTAAGAATTTCAAGCCTAAATAGTAAAAAGGCTTTAATTTTTTTAAAAGATGAACGGTAATTGCCATTTTTATTAGTTATGAGTTTAATGGCGCGCGGGGTGGAAGAAAGAGGAGAATCTCGCTAATTCGCCACTCGTCAGGAAGCGTCAAAAACCAATGGAACCGATCTTGACAGGTTACACGGCGGATCGTGCGTATTGTTTGCGACAGTGCACTAAATACATTTCCAGTGTTTCTCTCTAGGCGCAGTTGAAATATGTTCTTCAAACAATCCAACTTAGCGCATTGAAACTGGCCACGTTTCCAGCATGCACAGAATTTCATGGGTTTCGAAAACCCCTCCTTATTTCCCTAATATAATAGAAACCAAAAAACCTCACCACTGTACGGAAGTCACACCGACTACATCGGAAGTAAGAGAAGGATTTTTTAGAGCTAGCATTTACAACATGGTGCCATGGTTACGTTGCATTGTACAAGGTGGGCGGATCATATGGGGGGTGCCGAAAGGTGCGACAGGTGGACCGAGGGTTCGGTGAGTCACCCCGGGAAAGTGAGTCACCGAGAGGGAGGGAAGAAGGAGGTCTGGCGCACCGGCACCCGCACGCATCGCCACACCACGCTGTACACGCGCGACTGCAAACCGCATTGCCAAACCAAATTTTCAATCTCATTTGCATGACCCGCTATAGATTCATGTCCTGGAGGCAAATGTAAGAGAACGATGTCATGCAATTGATACCCATCTGGTTAATGGGAGCCTGGTGTGGTATTGGTCCGCGCAGGCGGCATGTAAACTGGAGGTCAAAACGAACAATTCCAAATATCCGATCCGGATTGTGGAGGTGAAAGCATCACTTGAAAGCCGGCGTTTTGGGGCTTTCAGTGTTGTTGGTCAAATTAGAAGGAGGATATTTTATCAGCAATCATCCGAGCCTCGTAATGGAAATGGAAAGATAAAAAACGAAAAATACAATAGATAATACACTAGTTTACTCAACCACAGTTCAAAGGCTACCGCTTTGTTATCTGGATACTCTGGATTTCAAGCCCACTAATTAACTGATAATGCACCTAATTAGAATAGTAACTTTAATGGAACACGAAGTCCGAAAAATTTAATCAAAAATAGGCAAAACTAGTTATTGCTGTTTCTGATAAATAAATAAAAAGGGGAGAATACTTTGAGAAAATACTAGCAAAGAGAGATACGCCAACGCACGTTTCGACACCGTGGTACCTTTCCGTACTGCATGTGCCTCGAATTCAGAAGCACTGACCGAATTAATTTTATGCAAATTTCTACCGACTGCTTCAAGACACGGAGCCATGAACCCAATCAGCCTTGCTTAAATATACATCGGGGTTCCTACACCGGTAATCGTTCACATAAAGGGTAAAGGCTAAGGAAGGAAGGTCTGCGTGGGCGTTGGTAGCGTCAGTCGCAACCCAACTTTTGGCACCTCTCGCGTGTCCCAAGGTGTCTTTGACCCAGTCGCTATGGCTCCCTTCCCAAAGTGGCGTGAGGTGAATCTGACCAAGAAGTTCCACCCTAGATGCTATTGCGGTGACCTCCGTTAGCGCCACAACTCCGTTTTTCCAGGCGTTCACACACACATGACCTTGACCGTCTTGGCGAGACGAAAAACCAAGCGAGTTGAAACGTTATCGAATTAGTCAAAA